TTAGTACCTTTTTAAAGGGTACTGCTGCAGTGACAGTTTTGTACCTTTTTTTGAGAGTGTACCTTGTGACCCAGAAATTATGACCCACAAAACCAACCACTGAAACCAACCAACCCCAGTTCTCCCTATCACTTAATCTGTAGAATAGTTCATACGAATATCCAGACTGATATTTTGTTTGGCGCAGGGTGATGACACTGAGGGAGAAACAGAGAATGGGTCTCCAGCAGAGAAGAGCTCAGACCAAACCAGCAACTCATTAGAAAGCCTCTACAGTGGACAGAGCTCATCCAGTAAGCATCTACACACAAGCGACCGAAGTGGAAAGTGATTTGACATTGTAATCATACTCTTTTTGTTTTTGTATTTATTGGCTCAGGTGGTGTGGCTAGCAATTCAGATGTATCCAGTAACAGACACAGCCTGAAATTGGAAGAGGAAGTGCCCTACACGGGACAGTTCTGTGGGCGAGCTAAAGTACATACAGACTTTGTCCCCAGTCCATATGATACAGACTCCCTAAAACTGAAGGTGAAATAAATATTGTATTTTTTTTAATTCAAGATTGCTTCCAGTTGATTGAATCAGCACAATTTTAAAGGAGAAACATTAACTGCCAATAGTAAGTTAATGGTGTTGGTAATCTTTTTCAGGTGGGAGACATCATCAGCATCATAAGTAAACCACCTATGGGCATATGGACTGGCATGCTTAATAATAAAGTGGGAAATTTCAAGTTTATTTATGTGGATGTTCTGCCTGAGAAAGAGAAGGAAGAAGAGGAGGAGGCCCCAAAAATAAGACCTGTGAAAGTATGCAAGAAGCCACGACCGAATACAATCCTGGAGTTATTAGAGAGACTTCATTTAGAGGTATAACCTCAAACAGGACACATATGTGTATACAAGTACACACATGGAAGCATCACTTATCCTTCATGCCCACCTGCTTAATCCAGCAAAATCCACCAGAAAACTATCTGTGGATTTTAACGTCACTATCTTCACCTCACACTGATTGGCTGCCACCAGTGTTTTAATTGTTAACTAAAATAAAAACTATTACAAACAATATATTTTCTGTAACTGAAAAAAACCTGAAATAAAATAAAATCTAAATATTAGATTTTAAAAAAACTTTAAAACATTTTTTTCCTAGAAATGTTGCCTTGTAAATTAACTGAAATGAAGAATTTTAAGTTAAAGTACTAAAATAGATGAAAAACTTACAAATTTTTTTTTAGAAACGTTGCCTTGTAAACTCACTGAAATAAAAAATATTAAAGTAAAGTACTCAAATAATATGAATATAACTATAAATTATATAATAGTAATATATGATAGTATATGAATATATTAATAAAATAATATAAATAATAATAACTTTATAATTAATGTTTAATAAAAATGACAAAAACATTTAAAAACATACTTACAACAAAAATAAAATCAATATAAAAATAAAAGCCAATTCAAAAAAACAATGCTACAATAGTATACAAATTATACTGCCAGCTTTTTTGTCATTGGCATATTTGAGCTTTTCTGATTACTTTGACACTCTCACCCCTTGTTTCTACATATCAATCCCACAAAAAAGTTAATAAATAAATAAACACTCAGCTCCCTAGAGAATTAATTGAAAACGCCCGTTCACATCCACACTAGTCGGCATATATGATTTAGTGCAAGTGCAAGATAATTCCCCTTAAATTTTGATTATATATGTCCATAAATTTCTCTTTGACTGGATAGTTTATAGCTGTATTGCACATTTTAATGTTGGAAATCTCTTTTGTCACAGGAATATGCATCTTCATTACTCCTCAATGGCTACCAGACAGTAGATGATCTCAAACATCTGAAAGAGAGGCATTTGATTGAGCTGAATGTGACCGATCCAGAACACAGACGCAGGTTGCTTGCTGCATCAGACTGCCTCTACGTGCCTCTAAGCAGTGAGTATCAATACAAGCAGTTTGATTGACAGCTTTGGGCAAAGCTATATTTTGGTTTTCTCTGTGTCCATCTCGAGAAACATTATGTCAGCAAGCCTCAGGAAGGACACAGATTCCACAATCTTGGCATTGTCTATTTTTGTGTTTTGATGAAATTCTGCCTTTTTGAAATATTAGAGTCAGACAGCGAGTCCAGTATTACTGAAAGTCACAACCTTATCTGTTTTAATTTAATCTATAATGCTCTGTGCAGTCAGGAACAGCCTTTTCCTGTAAATGCAGGTCAGGATTAATTGGCGTTTGAATGTGGGCTCACTGTGTGAGCAGGTGGCACATGGCTGGGCTGCTCTGGCTGATATGAGTGTGGGATAATAACCAGGAAGACATACTGTCATTTAATTAACATTAATTTCATTTGGGTTTTTGCGCAAATGCAAACCTGATTTGTTCGGCAGAGATGAAATTAATGAGCAGGAGTTTGTATGAGAGATTTAACCTTTCTTTGCTTTGGCTTACAGAAGACGAAGAGGGAGCGATGAAGGGCAATGAGGAGGAAGACGAAGATAATGACTGTCCCAGAGACTCGGGTTGTTTTATTCCTGCAGAGTGTCCTGACAGCTGAGCTGAGAGTTATCCAGTGTCTCTCTCCTGATATCATTTCATGTTAAAGCTACAAACAGACCCAGAACTCTGTTAAAGGGGTCATATGATGCGATTTCAAGTTTTCCTTTCTCTTTGGAGTGTTACAAGCTGATTGTGCATAGATAAGATCCCTGAAGTTGCAAAGACTAAAGTCTCAAAACCAAAGAGATATTCTTTATCAAAGTTAAGACTCTGCCACGCCCCCCTAAAACGGCTCGTTCTAACATGCCCCCACATATCTACCTCACTATGTGGCAATATTAGCATAATGCGGCCCAAATGTGCACGCAAAGAAAGAAGGCGTGGTTTCAGTAACCGCAGTTAGTGTTGAAAAAGTGAAATGAAACAAATGAAAAAGTTCTTTGAAACAAGACACCTAAGTTTATAGTTCGTCAGTTGTAAAAAAAAAAAAATTCTTTTCATACACTTATCATCAATTCATACATATTTATTATCAACTAAGGTCTTGTGGCAGGAAATAAATGTGTGACCACATTTACTCATTTGATTTCTCTGCTTGTGAAAAGGGGGGTGGGGGGGGGTGTACAAAAAACCAAGAAACTCGGAACAGATGCATATGATGATAGAGTGGAAAAATATTTGTATTTATTAACAATAATTAATACTACTACATAACTGATAAATGCAGGTTTGCCTGTAATTATATTTTTTAATTACAACTTACTTTTGATATTTTTCAAATGTATTATTATTATTATTATTATTAATATTATTTGTTTGTTTGTACCATGCATACTGTCTTGCGCACTAGAATAGTGAGTTTCTTTAAAGGGGTCATATGATGCGATTTCAAGTTTCCCTTTCTCTTTGGAGTGTTACAAGCTGATCGGGCATAGATAAGATCCCTAAAGTTGCAAAGACTAAAGTCTCAAATCCAAAGAGATATTCTTTAT